CCTGTGACCACGACCGCCAGCCCCCAGGGGGAAGGTGATGCTGCAGGTGGTGGGCTTATCTTCTCTGACGTCTGGTAAGGTACAGGCAGGGAGGTTAGCTCTGCGTCCATCCGGGAGCTGGAGATTCTAAATCCTCAGACCTTGTTCTGGCCCATCACTCTCCTCACCCACCCTGCCTTACAACGAGACAAGCCGGAATGGGCCCGGCGGTCATTTTTGACATGAATTAGTCTTGGTTTCATGGGTTTTTTGGTTTTTTGGGGTTTTGTTGTTCTTGGTTTTTTTGTTTTGTTTTGTTTCGTTTTTGAGAAAATTTTGGTTCATTTGGAGCCACGGACTTTGGCAAAAGCGTCAGTCTGATCATCCAGTTACCTGTCCTATTCTTCCCCTGTTTGTTTTCCTGTCTTCTGTTTACGTTGATGCTATCTAAGTTTTGCTGATGATGATCTGGCCTTGTCTTTCTTCGGGTTCCTTCAGTTTGCCTCATTTTGTTCCACGGGCAGCCTGATCTGTGTTTGGTAACTAACTCTGTGTGTTGCGTGTGTGTGTGTATTTCTATGTGCACACACATGTTTAGTGGGCAGCAAACATCTTTCCTTCTCTCTGCATTAAACTGGACCGTATTTTATGTGTTGTGATGGCTGTGTTCTCTGCAGCGTGTAAGCTGTCAGGGGGAACCCTCACTTACCCTGGGACCTGGTCTGTTCTCAACGGAGGGAGTAGGACCTCGAGACTTCACTTTAAGCCTTTGACACAAATAAGTCTTGGATTCTCAGAAGAACTTCCGTTTGGTTCCCAGTATTGTTTTGTGGAAGAAAATGGTTTTTGACCACGGGGCCCTCTCTTACCTGCACAGTGTCTCCTCTGAGATACACACGGTCATCAGCAGAAGAAATGACAGGTGCATGACAGGTCCCACTGAGTAATGATTTCCGATCTTGGCTGCACATGAAAACCATCTAAACGATTGACGAGTTGGGTCCCCACGCACTGAGGGCCTGATTCTAGATGAGCCTTCTAGATGAGCCTCATATGCCACCAGGATGAAAGCAGCCGCCCCAGGACGTGGCACGCGGCTTTCTTGTGAATATCTGCAAACAAGTTGAAAGCCTGCGATACCCCTCCAGACCCATCCGGGTCTCAGGTTTTGATGGGATGACACGCCTGCATTATCCGCCTAGGTTTCAGTACAGAAGACGGATCCTTTCTGCTTTCTGTCATGGGTGATCCTGTCTGGTCAGGTTCTCGGAGGCTTGTCCTGAGGGCAGTTCTCATGGCTGTAAGCCTATGTCTTCCTGAGACTTGCCTCTCCAGCCTAGCCCCATTGGCATCGCAAGCACCCGATGGTGACATGTGCCACGAACTGTGGAAGAGATGCCCCTTCCTGCCCACCTGATGAAGAGGGAAGGAGGGGACCAGGGTTCGGGGCCACTGTTCCCACCATCGCTCAGATTCCGGGCCCCATTTAATGCAGCTAACTGCCGGAGAATGTGAACCTAAGAGGTCTATTGTTTTGAAATCTGACTCATATTTGAATAACTATGATCGTAGTCATCTGATTCTAGCACTGAAATGCCTGTGATTAAGATCCTAATCTATGAGAGAGAAAAAAAAATACAGGTGTCTGTTTAAAGAGAGGACAGGTGTGTGCCTCTGGGAGCTCTTCATTGGAAGGGGCCACGACGAGAGGAAGGAGAGGCCTCAGGGGGGCTGAGTCTCCGTCCCAACTGTCCATCTGCAGGCCGGTGACCTGCTTCCACGCAAGCCACCTCTCCCCTTCGGCCTGTTTCTTCATTAGTCAATGGGGGGGATTTGCAAGACCTACCTCAAAGGCTCGTTGTATGGATTAAATCAGATAATGTGTGCAGAAGTTTCTCTGCAAGCTCCCAAGCACCATATAATTATTAGCTGTGACTATCAGTTTGAGAAACTGGCTTTCATAATGAGCGGCTCAATTAAGCTGCCACCTCCCTGCTGGCTGGGGAAGCCAGCCTGGGGCTGCAGGGAGGGGCACGCAGGGCCCACGCAGGAGCGGTCTTGCCCTTGGCCATGTCCTGATCCTTTTTTCTTGGAACCACTTGTGCCCAGAGAGGTTTTGAGTGTTGGGGCAGGACACCGCTCTGGTAAAGGGGCTCAGGAAGAGAATGGGAAAGACTTTTTGTTCCAGGACCTGGGGGTCAGGGGAGCAGAGCCGCCAAAGGGGGAAAAGGGGACTTGCCTGTAAGCTGCCAAAAGGTTCGGTGCCGGGGACTCTCCACACAGTTGCCAAGCCGTGTTCCCCACCGAGTGGACCCACAGGGGTATGCTGGGGAGCTGTTGGCTCTGAGCCCAGTGCCCGCCATGAAGAGCCCCTGGAGGCCAGCGGAGGAGGCTCAGGGGGCATTGGGGGAAATGATGGAGAAACCCAGTTGTGCATCTCACCCGTCCGCCACTCAGAGCAAGCAAGCAAGCACGCCGAGGGGACAGCAGCCCAGAGCCTCCCGCGGGCAAGGGCTGAGCAGTCTCTGTCTCTCAGCGCGAGTCCCCTGGCTATCGTTTGCACAAAGAAAGACCTGGGGCCCCTTGAGTGCTCTCTGACACACATGGGTGCAAATTCCAGACCATTCTAGGGAGAGGGCTCCCTTGGAACTGGTACCCAGAATGGCTTGGGTGCCCCGGGGGCTGTCAGGCTCGGGAAATCTGTCCACAGTTCAGGGAATTGGGACTAGAGGACAGTGAGGCTCTCCCATTTCCTTTTTTACCAGTTTTCTTCCTTGTTTTCTTACTCCCGGTGGATCGTGCTCCCTCATGTCCTTTCCTGGGTGCAGTGAACAGAAGATAATTGATACCATTTTCTTGACACCAGCTAGCTACCAGGCTCCGTACCAATGCTGGCTGGACAGTCCTCTCAGAACCTTAGGGTGGTCGACATCATCATTTTCCCCATGGTTCAGAGGAGCAAACTGAGGTTCGGGCGGGTAAGGGGACCTATCCAGGGTCACACACAATCAGTCAGTGGGGATTCCGCGTCGAACCCAGCAGCCTGACTTCAAAGCCCATGCTGGGTCAGACAGACTCTCTGAGGATAGACCCTGCACCTGCCCCCTTGTAGGAGCTGCGGAGAACTTGGGGGGTTGGATTTCTTCTAGTCGTGGTGGTAGCATTCTGATTCTGAATATTCAACTCCTGTAGACTGTGGTGGCAGATGGCTTAACGTGGGGAAAAAACCTTGGGACTTTATCAGACTTGCCCTGCTTTTGGGTGAAATGCGAAATCAGTTGAGAGCCAGGAACTCTGTTTAATCCTCGCTCACATTAGCCCGATGAGACTGCTCCGTTCACCTAAGTGGTTAATGGGCAAAGTGGGTCAATCCAGCTTTAGCGTAAGTCGGGGATGGCTCTGGCACTGCGAGGCCGTCTTCCTTAAGGGAAAAACCTTCCTCTAACTTGCTGGGAAGAGGGAGCTCCCCCGGCGTGTGGCCCCTTTCTGGCTCGTGCGATAGAACTTTGGATCATCATCTCCATAAACGTGCTCAGGAGAAGAGTTGTGGTCTCAGTAGATTAGGGGTGGCTCGAAGCTGGAAGTTTCGGATGTCCTACCGAGAGGTAAATATTTGGTCAGAAATGATGTGGAAATTGTCTTTTTTTTTTTTTTTTTTAATTCCCGGGCCCATAGAGGAAGCAGTCAGAAACTGCTAAATCCCATAGTTAGTGGAAGATCGTGCATCCGTGACCAAAACCTAGTCTCCAGTTAGTTAGCACATCTCTTTCCTTTTAGTGTGCACACCGGTGCCCAACTTTGTCCTGCCAGGTGCTGTAAACTGCGGATTGAACACCATAATGCTGATAACCATCATCGTGGTAGCAAAGCTAGTAAATATCAGTTACAGACCACATGTCCGGCATGTTCTGATCATAGTATGATCCTTGTTTTACTCCTCATTAAACTTCGATGATGGAGGTACTATCCCTTTCGCTTTTACAGAGGAGGAAGAGAAGCCCAGAGAGGTTAAGAAAGGTATTCAAAGTCACACAGCTTATGTGCGGCAAAGCTGGGATTTGAACCCATGTGGTTTGATATCTGAGGCCTCTTCCCTTATCTGTTAGCTTTACACATAACCACTGAATGAAGCAGGTGGACGCTCTTGCCGTTTCGCATGGTAGAATGCTCAAGTTCAAGAGAGCAAATAAGGAACAACCTTCCACCATCCGATTGTGTTGCTGTCCGCGCTCACTCACGGCTTTCTGGCGTGGGGATCATGGCCCACGTTTCCTGTCGGTCCTAACAGTATTGTCTGCATACTTCGGCTTAGATGAATGCAGTGATCGAGATCATACAAGTCTTTTTTTTTTTTAATGGAGTCTAAAGTATTTTTGGAAGCTTCTAGAGTTGGGTCTCGGGGATTTCCTCTTGGCAGGTTTGTATCACTTTATGCTCCCATCTGATTTCACCTGGTTTTGGTGACCTTCGGGTGTGCTTTTCGCAGTAAAGGCATTTTGTCGGCGGTCACTGTGTTGAAGCCTGGGGGCGGGGGGGACATCTTCCTTCCCGTTCCCAGCGCATGCGGGCCCAGGCTTGGTGAATGCGTGGAGTGAGGCTGGTGAGGACTCCTGGGCAGCAAAATCTCTGGGAGCCCGACGTGCTGCTGTTAGGAAGGGCACATAGCCAGAGGTCAAGGACCTTTGTGTTCTGACATCGTATGTCTAGGGCAGTTTAAACACTGGATACCGGGAAAAATAAGGGAGAGGTGGCCCCCGCGAGGGGATTTAGAGAAACTCCTATTTCACTGTTTCTACCTTGGAGGAAGGTGCCTTCCTATTGCACATAGAGAGTATCTGGCCTCCAAGCTTCAGATGGGACGTTAATGCGCCTTTCAGCTCTGAAATTCCTTTTACATGTTTTCACATCTCTATCACCGTTCCCCGTAATAAGAGAGAGCAAGGATGAGTGTTGCCGTTGACACGTGTGGCCAAAGAGGTGTCAGCTTCTGAGCTGACTTCGCTCTGCTTGCTTTCCCTCAGGGACCTGATGCCGAGGACCCTGGAGGGGCAGATCACCATGGAGAAGACACCCAGTTACTTCGTCACCCGCGAAGCGCCCGCGCGCATCTCGGCCATGTCCAAGGACACCAAGCTCATCGTGGTGGTGCGGGACCCGGTGACCCGAGCCATCTCGGACTACACGCAGACGCTGTCCAAGCGGCCCGACATCCCCACCTTCGAGAGCTTGATGTTCAAGAACCGCACGACGGGCCTCATCGACACGTCGTGGAGCGCCATCCAGATCGGCATCTACGCCAAGCACCTGGAGCCCTGGCTGCATCACTTCCCCATCGGCCAGATGCTCTTCGTGAGTGGGGAGCGGCTCATCAGCGACCCGGCCGGCGAGCTGGGCCGCGTGCAGGACTTCCTGGGCCTCAAGAGGATCATCACCGACAAGCACTTCTACTTCAACAAGACCAAGGGCTTCCCCTGCCTGAAGAAGGCCGAGGGCAGCAGCAAGCCCCACTGCCTGGGCAAGACCAAGGGCAGGACCCACCCCGAGATCGACCGCGAGGTGGTGCGCAGGCTGCGTGAGTTCTATCGGCCGTTCAACTTGAAGTTCTACCAGATGACCGGCCAGGACTTCGGCTGGGATTGATCGACCCCCGGGCCGTGTGACTTACCACTCGGCTTATGTATCGAGAGAGGTTATATGTATGTAAAATGTACAGAAATCTATTTTATAATAATTTATTTTTAATTCGTAAGCAATTAACTCACTCAGCTGCCTAGCCACACTCTTTAGAGAGTTAGTCTCATAATCTGTTAACATTCCAAAGTGTTTAATCTTTTCTTTTCCTCACGATTGATGGTGCTTCCGTCCCCCCCGCTCCCCGCCCCTACCCATTCTATTTAAAAAGAAGAAAAGCACAACTTGAGATTTTTGTTGTTACGGGTACGCAGCCTGCAGTCGCTGTCTGAGTTCACTTGCCATCTCCCTGTGTCTTGGGTCTTGTAGTCCAGCTGCCATTCCTCCCTCCCTGCCCTCGTACCTCCGAGGAGCGCCCAGCTGCCCCAGCAGCTCGGCTCCCTCAAGGTCATGTCTCATGTAGCAGCCTCCTGCCCGTGTGTCGACATTTCGAAGGACGTAGAGGCCAGACCACAGCGCTAGGCTTTCCGCCCCGAGTCTACTCAGCTCGCGGGGGAGTCACTACCTTGGTAGGGACACGCGCCTCCTCTCTGGAGTCTGCGTCCCAGGGTCCGTTTACTTCAGCTTATGATTTTGAGAGAGAGCCCTGCGTCCCCTTCTGCCCCGGTCCCTGGTTCTTGAAGCCGCTTGAAGCGTATGCAGATGTTACAGCCCCTCTTTCCCAGGTCACGTGTGTGAGATGCTTGGGTGCTGCTTTAGAACTAAAGACGACCTCTCCTTTGCATGAGTACACCATGCTCGGTCCTCCAGGCAGACAGTTCTGCTCTGACACACCAAAGAATCCCCTAGGCTAGCAGAACCATCAGCACAAACCCGCAGGTGCCGGGTGTCCAGACCCAGAGGGCTCAGGTGCATCCCACGCCCTCAGAGCCCCCCAAGGTGCTGCTGGGTGCCGAGCCAGCCCACGTGGGGCACATCCCAGTAGTAGGCGGACCACCTCAGTGGGGAGAAAAGCCAAAAGAGCACCAGAAGGACAGGCGGCCTGGCAGAAGAAGCAAGTCCCTGGCCCCCTGCTTGATGTCTGGAACTCGCCTCCTTGGAATTCCTAGCTCATCACAGACTGACAGCACAGTCTGTCGCCAACAGCCAGACAGCAAGCAGCAGGAGTGGCTCTTGCAGAGACAAGCTGGGGGAAGAAAGTTGTTGACTGGCGGCCGCCGAACCTAACGATTATGAAGATGTCCCTTGTTTGAGCTAGGTCCCAGGAGAAGAGTCTCCAGTATTGTCGCTGCTGATGCAGAATGCTCTCCCCTCCATCCCTCTCTGTTGAGAGAGCAGTTGGAGATTATTTTTGACGGCCAGCTTGTGGCAGTCGGGGTCACCATATAGCAATATCACAGAATGAACATGTTCACTGTATCCTGTTTTCTAAACCGGAATGCTTCTACCATAGAAGAATTTTCATTTGAGTTATAGTTGCACCAAGGCTTACGTGGGAAGACGCACACATTGGCCAAATGGTTGGGGTGTGATATTTACAAAGACAGGAAGTTTTATTTTGAGTTACAGTTGCACCAAGGCTTATATGAGAAGAGACACACATTGTCCAAATGGTTGGGGTGTGATATTTAAGAAGACACTCTTGTGCATTGGATGGGATAGAACTTGCCCCGTTGAGCAAGAAAATTTGTATGAAAAGAGAGAGAAATAATTCATCTTTCATCAAAACTGATCACCATGTCACCGGTCCTTGAGTGATGTCGTTTGGTAATTGGTTTGTATTCGCCCACAAGTTTGAGCCCAGACATAGCTCGCTCACACTGAGCAGCAAAACAATCAGGATCATCGTGTAGGTTCTGGGCAGGAGGATGGGCACTGGGGCTCCATGCATTATTCCCCAGATGCTCTGTTCATTTCAGAGCTTAATGACTGCCTCTACCAAGTAGTACAGAAGCTGCCTTTAGGGGAATACCATAATCCTAGCACGGTTCTCCCTTCTTGCTGCTTGGGCGTCCAGACATCTGCATAAGGGTACTCTAAGGGGTTGTACGTTTTTGCGGTCAGAAAGCTCATTTGTAATAAAACGGAGAATGCTTCTTTCCAGTTACAACGTAACATCGCTTAAAGTAAAAGTCAGGATCCACAACCTCCACGGAACCCCGCGCTGACCACTTTCTGGCCACTTTTCGTGCCCTGATATGGCTCGTGATGTAGAATTGCAGAAAAAGCGCAGCGAAGGGTGTGCGACAAGGCAGTAGGAAAACGTGCGTACGTTTTTCCTTCCCTTCGGGTCCCTGTTGTCTTTCTAAGCTGGACAGTTTTGATTAAGTTGTTTATCCCCTGCCTTACAACTGAAACAGGAAATCTCCAGATAGAAGGAGGGTCACTGAGTCATGAACACTGGAGTCAGGATTCTATTCTGGGTCAAATCCTCGAATCCAAACAGATGTTGATAATTGGCAAGGACAGACTAGAGTACGTTTTCCTGTAGAAGATAAATAAATGAAAACTTCCATGCATCTCTTCATAGGGGTCTGATAGCTTACAGTTCCCGACCCCCGCAGAAGCGGCATCTGCCCCACGGTTACACCCCGTCATGTGATAGTTATTACTGAGCCGGGGCGCATATGTCCTCCCGCAGAAGTTAAGCAACACGTACAATTCAGCCTTGAGTTTCTTCCTGTTCTAGCAATCTCCAAGGCCACCAGCTCAAGTTCTTAGCTGCTAGAAGACAAACACCGGTTTGTGTTTTGGCACTTTGTCCCTATGCACGCTTTGGGTTTTTTCCAGTTTACAGGGAAAACTGATAATTCACTGGGGGTACTTTATTCCTCTCTGTTTCATTTGCTTGTTAAAAAGATTAACAAACAAAAAAAAGAAATTGGAGGTTTTTATTGTCCCTGTCTACCCCATGCTTGCTTTGAGGTGTTTGGTAACTTGGGAGGTGGTACCTGGAAAGGTATTTAGGTATAGTGACTGCATAATAAATACTTGGATGACGGAGGAAGAGACATTGTCTTTTTCGCGGGATTCTCTTTGGAAGTCATTTTGAGTGACAGATACATTTTAGGCCTTTGGAGAAACAGTTTCAGATCCTGCCAGGATATTTACATAAGAAAGGAAAATGGAAGGTTCCAGTAGACTAGAAATACTTAGCATGTATCTCAAACGCTGACACAGACGTCTGTGTGATTTTTCTTTTTCAGTTTCTCAAGAAGGATGGTCAAACTGAAAGGTGTGGTTAGATGTTTTTTTTTCACTTTTGTAACATTAATTTATGACTGAGTTCATTCAGCCCAGTAATCTGAAATACGGTGCAAATTCTAGCCGTGTGTCTTCTATAACCTGGATGTTAGAATAGCCAATATGTACAAAAAGAATTAAAACAAGTATTTTGTTCTATGTATAACACAAATTAATTTTACACAGAGAAAGATGTTTCTAGGAAAAAGAAATTCTGGTAATTCATACTACTTCTTTGTATGAACAAATAAAATCTATTTTACCAACTTGTGGGTGCTCTTCTGTTTTGTTGTGTGTTGCGGATGGACAAGGGGTGCTGTCTGAGTCCGTAACTGATCACATGCATGTGTGCGCACAGGGAGTCATTCTGGGGAGGGCAGGCTGATCTTGCAGATTTCAAAATGTAACTAACCTGCAGATATTCGGGGCAATTTTTTGTAAAGGACTCTGAAGTCTGTGAGATCAGCGGGAAGGCCCCTGCCCCCTTGGAGGAGCATGCAAAGAACTTCCAAGAACACCAAGGTCACCATATCCTGCAGGCTTTCCGTGCCTCAGGCTCTAGCCTGGCCGGTGGTGGGAGCTGCCCTGGGCGGTGTGTAACCACAAGTATGACCAAGCAGAGCATTGATAGCTGGGCTGTTTGGATAATGGTAACATTCTCATCTCACATAAACAGTTGTATGGAGACCCTTATCCTTGAGACATAGTTGAAAAGTGTTTAGACAAGACGATGTTTCCGTGTCTATAGCCCACAGCAAGAGATCTTCTGTTTCTTTTGATGGGACACACTCTCTGTACGATGATTATTTACTATCTTTTTTTTTTTTAAGATTTTATTTATTTATTTGAGAGAGAGAGACAGAGAGCAGGAGAGGGAGGAGGGTCAGAGGGAAGAGAAGCAGGCTCCCCGCCGGGCAGGGAGCCCGATGCGGGACTCGATCCCGGGACTCCAGGATCATGACCTGAGCCGAAGGCAGACGCTTAACCATCTGAGCCACCCAGGCGCCCCTATTTACTATCTTTTAAGATTGATTTATTTGACAGAGAGTGCACGAGTGGGGAGGAGAGGGACAGTGGGGGAGGGAGAAGCAGGCTCCCAGACTAGATCCCAGGACCTTGGGATCATGACCTGCGCTGAAGGCAGACGTTTAATCGACTGAGCCACCCAGGCACCCTGATTATTTACTATCATAAACGTTTGATTCATTCTTGAGTTTTCCTTAATTTTTGTTTTCAATTTTCCATTGAGATTTATTTTAATTTGGTATATCTTTCGTTGAGGTTTAGAGTAGCTGACACCAAATTGATCGATTAAGGCTCAAACCCAAGAGTTCCGACTTCATATTTTTGAAACCACTCCACTGAGGTATGATTGGCTTACAAAAAGTGTGCATGTTTAATGTATATAACCCAATGAGTTTCATGGTAAGAGTTCACTCATAAAATCATCAGCACTCTCAGTGCCATAAATATGTCCACCTGTTCCAAAAATTTCCTCCTGCCATCTTACTTTTTTTTGTGATAAGAACATTTCACCTAAGATCCACCCTCTCAGCAAACTTAAGTATTTAGTATAGTGTTGGTAACTCTAGGCACTAGGGTATACATTGTCCCTGGGACTTAATTCATCCTGTATAACTAGAACTTTGATTTTGCTTAATTTAAAAAGGGAATCTATTACAATCTTAGGTGAAAAGCCATTATTTCTTGCCATAAAGAGGAGGTAATCAAAAAAAGTTAAGTACAACGAAAATAAATCCTTGCTAGTAATTTCTAGCTAGATCTCTAACTCAAGCCAGGTTTGCCGTAGGCTCTCACCCATTGCTCCTGGCGATGGTCACTCCTGGCAAAGACTAGCACTTAGCAAATTACCATCTTGCCTTGAAGGGTGGAGAAGAATTGAAGAGGGTATGAGTTACCCAATGCTACTTGGTGTTGAGTCCGTGAATGCCTAAAATGGGAGCACCCCCCCAAATCATCTCCGGTAGTACTCTGGGTTTTCTCGCATTTTGGAAAACACTTGTGATTCACACCAAGAAAACATCTTGCACAGAGGCCCAGAGTTGGAAGTCAGCCTAGCATTCTGGGAAGGCCGTGAAAAAAACACCCCACCCAAGCGAAGGACTCTAGCGGGTCAGGGGGGAAACAAATCATTAACATTTGGTTTTCAACAGCCAGCATCCTTACGGAGAACAGTTCCCTCAAACCTAGGTATATGCCGCTATGTGAAGTGAGCCTTGAATGTCGACCTGACTTTATATCCATCCCACTGATTCTCTGCTTTTTCTACAGAAAGGTAATAAAATGGACCTAAAATCTACTCATTAACCAGAGAGCAGTTTAGAGCAGTTGTTCTCAAGTTTGGGCAAATAACTGCACGATGCCACTTACACCTGTGGAATCTAAAAGAGACAAATTCAGAGAAACAAGAGTAGAGTGGTGGTTACCGGGGATTGGGGTGGGGGGAGAAATGGAGAAATACTGGTCAAAGGGAACGAACTTCCAGTTATAAGATTAACACGTTTGGGGATGTAATGTTCAGCACAGTGATTATAACGGATAATACTGTATCTCATACACCTCAATGGTGCGTTGAGAGTAGGTCTTAAATGTTCTCACCACAAGGAAGAAATGACAGTTACACGGCTATGCTGGGAATCAGTTTGAGATCTATAGATGTATCAAATCAACGTGTTGCATAACTTAAACTTACACGATGTTATTTGTTGATTATATCTCAATAAAGCTGGAAGACATTTCAAAATAATATAATGTAAACCCAAAAAGCTCCCCCAGTGATTCTAACATACAGCTAAACTTGAAAGCCATGGTTTTCAAAGTGTGGTTTCTGGACCACATCAGCATCCCCTGGGAACCTGATAGGCATGCCAATTCTCAGGCCCCCGAATTGGAGCTACTGAATGGGAAATGCAGGATTTAACAAGCTCTCCAGCTGATTCTGATGCATGCAAAAATCTGAGCATCACCGCATTAGAGCGTAGACTTCATATCATTTCCTATCATTTTGAAACCAGAGACCCTTGGATCTCTAATCAAGCACATTGTCTTCTGTACCAGACTTTTCACCAACCAAGGCAATTCCTAAGCAGAGTCACCCCTTATAACTCTGGGTCTCCTTTCACAAAGTAGCTCTCTCTGCATTTCAAATAGTGGCCTCGGCTGCCTGGCTTCCCTCACTCTGCTGGGTCCTGTTTTTCTCAGGCAGCCCCCATGCTGTCCTCTCTAACATATTCCCGAGAGTGGAATGATAGGTTGATACAGGAGAGCTAACATCCTTTAAATCCGCCCCCATTTCACCTTACCTTCTAGATTCAATCTTCAACAGTATACTCCCAGCATTTCTTCTCCGATTGTCATGATTCCTTCTTATCCTTCACATTTGACTCCCAAAAGCCCAGTGACTTAAGGCTAGAGCTTCCATCTGGCCATCATGTTCCCAGTCATAACGAGTGGATCTAAACCTCCAAGGTCCTAATGATAGCATCCAGTTTCATTTTTCTGTTCTCACCCATTTTCATGATGACGATGTATGAAAGATGATAGAGCAGCCTCGTGGGGCAAAGTTGGCTGTGGCGACGCATCTGCGGGCTCAAAGCCTGCACTCCTCATTTGCGAGCTTCGCTCCGTGCAACGATCTCGTTTTTGTGTGTGAACTAATAGGGACTTAAGGACCCCAGTGCAGTTTCCTAAAAGCCATGGAAGACCCTCTCTACTGCCCCTAGAACTTCGTGAGGGGATTAGAGGCTCCTTCACATCTCCCTTGTCAGCCCCCGATACCTCCCGATCTTGCATCCCCCCACCGCTGCATAGAAGCTGTTATAATTCCTCTGCAGAATCCTGACCTCAAAATACCTAGGCTCCGCATGCTTTCTCTCTCCATACATCTAGCAAGAGAAGACTGATAATAGAGGACACCAAGACTCCGTTGGAAGAGTAAACAACAGAAGGTCTCCAGAGCTCCTTGAGAAGGGGAGGCGTCTGAAGGGAGGGATGCTCAGAGACCTTTATTTTGGATATGATATTCCATACGAATGGGAGCAAGAAGAGGCCGGAGTCAGAGATCGGCTCGTTCATTCAATAAATATTTATGGAGTGCTTACTGCTGCTAGGGCCACAACCCTAAACACGCCACGCTTCCCGATTCAAGGAATTCACATTCCAAGGAGGAGGTGAAGGATGTGTACGGATACAACAGGAATACAATATGACAAGGGCCACGACAAAGTGCTGGGGGAAATCAGGACAGGAGTTCCTAATCTGATCTGGGGCGGTGGAGAGGGAGGGTGTTACCTACACACCTGGCAGGATGTAGCCAAGTGATGACTGGAGGGCGATACGGAGGCAGAGGGCAAAGAGAGCCATGAATAAATACAGCCAGTTGGCAACTGTTGGCCAGATCCCACTGGCTTGGGAGCACTCAAGTCAGAACAGTTGGAGTCATCCTTGGCATCTCTTTCTCTCACATTCCTCACGTCCGATCCATCACCAAGCCCTGCCACGGCAACCATCCGAAAGCCTCCCAAGTCTCTTCACTACCCTCCCGTCTCGCTGGGCTACTGTGGTCGCCTCGTACCTGGCTTCCCACACGCCTCCCCTGCTCCATCCGGTCTGTTCTGCTCACAGCGCTTTGGGGAATCTTTTCAAAACTCAAATTGGACTGTGTACCCTTCCTGCTAAAAACCCTTAGATAGCCTCCTACTCTATTTCAGATAAATCTCATTAATTTGCCCAGGAAAACCTACCCAGCTTCATTTTAGACCCTCTCCTCCTGTTCTCCATGCTCCAACCACAAGAGTCTTCTTTTCACTCTGGGGGGAAGCCAAGTTCTCTGTGGATGCCTTGCTCCCAATTCCTTGCCTGGCTAACTTAGACTCGTCTTTCAGATCTCAGCACCCTTATCTGCATGAGTTCGTCCCTTAGTGAGGGAGGTCTTCTCTAGCTGTGGTTACCCCAGTGAACCACACGAGGTGGCGTTCGCACCCTTGGGTAGCCTTTCCCCACAATGACATATTGCGTATTTTGGTCAACAGTCTCAGCCGAGCTCCCGGAAGACACCCAGACTCAACTGCTAGCCATATTAGCCCGCCATCTTGGGGGTTCCTGTTCCTTGAGCCCCCCGCCAACTGCAGCTTTTGTAACATCACATGGGTCAGAAGAACCACTCAGCTGAGCCCAGTCAACCAATAAAATAGAGATCATAGCTGTTTTTGGTCTTAAGCCATGAAATTTGGGAGTGCTTGGAATG